AACCTCGGGCTGTTAGTCAAAGACCAAGCAAAACAACGCATAGTGCAGTCAGGGCGCTGGGACAATATCCCCAAGTATTGTCCTCAGAATCTCACATCCCAGCTACTGGGCAAGACACACACACACACAACTTCTCTTGCTCAAAGTCAGTGTGAAAACTGCCATCCTCTATCCCCAAGACAGAAGAAAGTTGACTTTAATCTCCCCAGGCTGTCTGGGTGTCTGGAAGGACTCCACCTGTGTTTTGACAGGTGCTCTCTTTGATCTCAAGAGGGAAGCTGCCCGGTGACCCCTGAGAAGCTGGGGGCCCTGCCTGGCCTATTAGCATAGCTCACACACAGCCTTGATGTGCCTCACAGTTCTCCAGGGGTGATCCCATGGGGCTTCACCACCTAAAAAGCAAAATGGAGAGGTCACCCAGGATCTTTGATGGAGCTAGGCGTAGTACACACCTCAAGTGCCAGCACTGGGTGACAGAGACAGGAAGAAGGCAGGTGCAAGGCTAGATCGGGCTACACTCGAAGACTCTGCCCAAAATACAGGAGGAAAAGGGGGGGGAGGCAAGGTTTTCCAACAGTAAGAAAACTGTGCACACGTGAGCTGAGCAACCCCATCCACAGGGACCCAAGGGCTGAGTCAGCCCAGATGTCCGTGGATGTGAGCATCCACAAATGTGACCCACTGGCAATGGAGTATTAGTCACCCATCAAAAGGATGGAAGCACTGTGTCATGTGACCATGGATGAATTCTGATGTCATGCTTAGAGAAAGCCACTAAGCACTCACACCCGTGTCAGGATGGGAGAACCACCGAGGTTAAAGTGGGCTGGTTGCGTGAGACCGAGGAGGGGGAAGGGAATGAAGGAAGGAGGTGGAGCCTCTGTGGGGCGATGGAAACACACTGGAACCAGTCAGAGCTGGTCAGATCCCTTTCCTGAGGTGGGAGAAACTTTAAGTAGTAAGATCGATGCTATAAAGGATTAACTTGCTTAGGAAATATAAATTACACAAAGTGGAACTTAGCAGAAGGAGCACTGCCTCCAGACTGGAGAAAAGTAGTACAAGCTCGCTAAAAACTGCAGGAAGAAAAAAATCATGCCATAATTGAAGTGTAGGGTTGTGGCAAAGAACAGGTCCCTAAGGCCAGAGCAGGTCTGCAACCATCATGAAGTTCTGGTCTGCAGTTCAGTCCCCTGAGTCCTTACCACGAGAAGCACAGTTCTGTTAGGTGGGCAAGATCTGGTAACAAACTTTCAAACAGAACAACACTGGTTAAGAAATGATCCTGGGGGGCAGGCTGGAGAGATGGCTCAGAGATTAAGAGCATTGCCTGTTCTTCCAAAGGTCCTGAGTTCAATTCCCAGCGACCGCATGGTGGCTCACAGCCATCTGTAATGGGGTCTGGTGCCCTCTTCTAGCTTGCAGGCGTACACGCAGATAGAATATTGTATACATAATAAACAAATAAATATATTAAAAAAAGAAATTATCCTGGGACCAGGGTGGTGGCCTTTAATCCCAGCACTCGGGAGGCAGAGGCAGGCAGATTTCTGTGAGTTCGAAGCCAGCCTGGTCTACAAGAGCTAGTTGCAGGACAGGCTCCAAAGCTACAGAGAAACCTTGTCTCAGAAAAAAAAAAAAATCCTGGTAATATCCCTGCTATGTAACTCTCTCATCTGCCCAAGTGGCTGGACTTCAGTCTCCCGTCTCTGTTTAAATTGTTCAAAGTGTGACCTGAGGCTGAACTAAAAGAATTAAGGATGACAGCGTATGTAGAATATAGAAGCCTAAAGTGTGTAAGTTAATAAAAAAAGACCTTCTGCTCCAGGTTAGCCCTCTTTGGACATCAGTCAGGGCAGGGTGAGCCTATCACTAAAGAGCTTTCTCCTTATTCTTCCTGAATAGCAGAGTGGGTTCTCACTGGGGGGGGGGGCAGGGAGCATGCTTCTGCATCACTCCATGCTGAGAAACAGCAGCTGAACATGTATGACCAAACCTCCATGAAGGAAAGAGAAAAGGAGGGACGGAGGGAGAAGAAAGAGAGGGAAAGGAGAGGGAATATTAGGAAGAAATGATCTCACAGAGGAGTGCACAGACAAAGCAGCTTGGCAAGACAAGCCTTTTTGTAGAAAGGATGCACCAAGACCCAAACTGGGTGAGCAAGACACGGGACAGAAGGTTCACTTCATTTTTTTTTTATTTTTTGGTTCACTTCATTTTTACACTAACACGGGTGCTGTGTCTTCCCCTACTGCCCCATTGTCTGGGGTTGGACCAATCTTTCAGGATTGCCTAGTTTTAACAGAATCCATGCAAAGGAAATGAAGAAAAATAGAGGACACTTAAATGCTGATGACACAGCTGCCTTTACTCCTAGCATCTGCAAGGCAAGAGAGGCATATCTCTGTGAGTTCGAGGCCAGCCAGGTCTATATAGTGAGTCCCAGGCAGGCCTGCGCTGCATAATAAACTATTTGAAACAAAACAAAAATGCATTAAGCCAGGTATAGGAAGAACCCCTCCCCCTCAGGGGAAGCCAGGGGGCGCCTCAAGAGCATATGGTAGGGACAGAGCCCAGCCTGGGAGAGGCAGTCAAGGAGAGCTTCTGGGAATAAATGACCCTGAAGGAAGAGAAGAAATGTACGTATCTTTTAAGGTAGGTCATAGTCCCCAAGGTGGAGGGACGGGGGCTAGAGCAGGATAGTACCATCAGGTGGGCGTGGGAGGAATGAGCATGGAAATAGGAACCAACGGAGAAGGGCATCCGTGCAGACACTACCATCAGAGTGTGCCAGGCACTTATGAGCACTGAGGCCACCTTCCAGAAGCCCGGGGGCACAAGGAAGCACAGCCTTAAATAACAACAGTCAACATTTTGTAGCATTGCCACTGGACCCAGGACAGCCCCAGAGAGCCATGTTCCCAACATCTGGATGCTCACATCCAAACCCAGCATCCTGCACACTGCGCAAGGAGACCTGAGTGTCCAAGGAGTCACTGCAGAAACACAGTGTGAACCTCAAGAACGGACACGGGACACTCCAGCTTCCAGGCTGCTCTTCTGGAGACGGCTGCTCACGGGAGGACATGGGTCATGTTAAGGGGAAGCATAAACAGCCCTGAGGAGGCCCAGACAGAGAGGAAGCGAGGCCCCTGCCAGCAAAGCTGGGTCACCCCACATGATCAGGACATGGTAGAAAGGATCCTCTAGCCCTAGTCAAAGGTGCAGACAACTGCAAATCCAGGTGTCCATGACCACAACCTTACTGTATGAATTCAGGGGGCAGAGACCTCCAGAGGGCTCACTCCTGTCTGCACCCTCTAAGGCCTGGCCAGAGAAGTACTGCTTATATACAGCCCACCATGCCACTGTGGGTTCCTTTTCCAAAGAGGCTCCACTTCATGCTGCTAGATTAGGAGGTCAAGAAACAGCATCTGCCTGGGACTGGTAGTATGGACCTGTATCCCAGAATGCCAGGGCAGGGCAGGTTGTAAGTTGAAGGCCAGCCTGGGCAGCATAGCGAGCAATGTCTCAAAATTTAAAAACAAGCAAAACCAACCAGAGGTAGTGGTCAGGATGTAGAGGCAGGAGTCCAAGACCAGCCTGGATTACACAAGATAGTGTCCAAAAAACAACAGCAAAANAAAAAAAAAAAAAAAAAAAAAAAAAAAAAAAAAAAAAAAAAAAAAAAAAAAAAAAAAAAAAAAAAAAAAACAGCAACAAAAAACAACAACCAAAAAACTTAAAATGTAAAAGAAGGCTGGGGGATGTAGTTCAGAGGGAAAGTTCTTCTCTCACGTGTGTGAGACCCTGGGGATCAATTCCCAGTATTACAAATCAAGCAAAACCTTGTGCATACCCAAGGGACTGAGGAAATGGTTCAACTATAGGAGCTCAAGAGTTGCTTAGTGGCCCTTCCACTCTCCCGACCTGAGAAGAGGGGAATGGCAACAGTGTAGCATGTGCTGGGATAAGAGGAAGATCAGATGCAACCAGCCACAAAGACACTTGGAGTCCACAGTGCAGGAATGGAATTCTGGAACTTCATACAAGGCCAGAAAACTCTACCAGGAGACACACCCCCACCCCTCTCTGGGGGGACTCTAGGCCAGTCACACTGAAGTCTCTGACTGCTACCGGAGGGCTGAAATAAAGCTGACATCAGCAATGCTGGGACCTAGCGAGAAAAAAACTATCATAACGCCTCGCCTGAATAATTTTTTTTCCTGATTCCAAAGCATTGTCCCAGGCTCAGGGTCTTTCTTCTTGATGTTGAAAACAATCCAAAGCGAAGGACCCCCACGCTGGCTTCTAAGTCTTGCTGCACGCTAAGCTTTGCCTTAGTAGATATAATCTCACACTGAAACTCAGCCTTACGGATCTCATTGCGAAGTCTGGCTCAGGGCAGAAACAAAATATATACAAACTACAGGGAAGCCTGCCTGAGGGGCTTGGCAACTCTATTGTATCTACTGGGCGGTGTCTTTACACATTTCTATAAAATCTTAGGACGCTGTGTGAACTGACTGTATGTTTAACAGAAAAAGAAAATCTCCCTGCTACCATTGACTACTGTCTCACTATAACTGGGACTATGTGGGGGCATTTATTAATATTTCACTGTTTCTCAGCCAATCTGAGGTTTAGAGAGGGCAAGTCACTTGGTAAAATTCACACAGCAATAAAGACCAGAGACAGAATGGCTTCCAAGTGGATCTAAAGAGAATATCCAGGGGTAGGCGGCTCGAGGTCAGCCTGTAGGGCAGGCAGGTTGTCACAGTCTCTTTACAGAACAGATAGATGGCGATCTAGAGGCCGGCCTGGGTCCGAGGGTCATCGTATGGAAAGTGAGGACTGCCTTCCCCAGCTCGGTAGACAGGGCGAGGGGAGCCTCCCCGTCCGGCAGGTCCACTGCCCACCGTTTTCCCCGCAGCGGTCCCCTTCTGGGGACCAGGGCAGCCAGCCCGCCTTCCCGCGCGCACGGTCCCGCCGAGTCCTACCTGGGTGTGTGGCCCGCTGCCGGCTGGACCCGCGACCTGGGTCGCCCGCGCTGCCCTCGCTCATCTTGGCTCCGCGAGGACCCTCCAGCCGCCTGGGCCAGCCGCCCCGCCTCGTCGGGTTCCGGATGACGTCACAGAGGCGGGCGGGGCCGTTCCCACGGGCGCGGGGTGGGGACCAGATACCTCCGAGAGCCTCTCCCTCTTTTCTCAGTCTTTCTTCTCCCCTTCTCCTTGCCCCCTTCCTTCCCTTTCCCTCCTTCCCAGTGTTCTCTCCCCTCTCTTTTGCTCCCTCTCCTCCCCTTCCACTTCCCTCCCTCACTCTTATGGTACCCTGAGACCTAGATTTGAACTCCTAATCTGCCTCCTACCAAATGCTTGGATTACAAATCCCATTGTGGTAAATTGTCATTTGGTAGCAAGGACATGGAAAGTGTGGAACGTTACCGTTTGAGTTCATCTATACGTGTGTGTGTGTGTGTGTGTGTGTGTGTGTGTGTGTGTGTGTGTGTAGACACACGCATAATAACTAACACAGTAATGTGCCTTGCACCAAATTTCAATGTGTTTGTAAATAGCTCTCTAGAGGGTGTAGTTAACTCTCTTGCATGGTTACTGGGGTGAGGAGAGCAGGTGGGGGAGGATTTGCTACACATGCTTGTCTTAGAAACGTTCTCATTCCACCTACACCCCATACCTATGTTCATATGCGGTTAAAACATAAAATTAAAGGTAATGAGTGGGCCGGTGAGATGACTCAGCAGGTGAAGGTGCTTGCCGCCAAGCCTGACTGCCTGAGTTCTAACCTCGGAGTCCACGTGGTGGAAGACGGACCGATTCAATCCCCCTGCCTGCATACAGACACAAAATAAATATGTAAATAAATGAAATTTGGATAATTGTCTTTATTTTTTATTTTTTTAATATTTATTTATTTATTATGTATATAATGTTCTGTCTGTGTGTATGCCTGCAGGCCAGAAGAGGGCACCAGACCTCATTACAGATGGTTGTGAGCCACCATGTGGTTGCTGGGAATTGAACTCAGGACTTTTGGAAGAGCAGGCAATGCTCTTAACCACTGAGCCATCTCTCCAGCCCCTGTAATTGTCTTTTATAAAAGAAAGTGGGGCTTGAGAGAAGGTTCGTTGGTTAAGAACACTTCCTACTCTTCTGGAGAGTTAGAGTTCAATTCCCAGCACCCACAACCATCCTGAACTCCAGCTCCCGGCGATCTGACACCCTCTCCTAACCTACACAGGCACCTGCATGCACATGGCCTATATTCACACAAACACTCATATATGCATAAATAAAAATAGCTCTTAAAGAAGATCTTGGGATACAGAGGCAGACAGATACCTGTGAATTTTAGCCAGCCTGGTCTATATACCTAGTCTCAGAGGAAAAGAAGGGAGAGGAAAGGAATGAGACTTAATGAGAAGGTGCAGTTGCTGTTCCACCTTCTCAGGAGGCTGAGGCCAGAAGGTTGCTTGAGCCCAAGAACTCAAGGCCAGCTGGAGCAACATAGAAACTTCATCAAAACAGAGGAAAGGAGTGGGAGGGGTAGGAAGAGCAGGCAGGTGGCAACAAGGCAGAGCAAGAAGTTCTATTTTAGGAATTACTAAGAGGCTCGGACGCCAGCTGGCACTGGAAGCCTTTAGCAACGGCAGTGAAGTTATCCAGGCAGGGTCATTATGGCTGTTTGACGGTCACCCAGCTTCCCTCCCTGTGCCCTTTGCAGCCCTGGTACATTTTCTTATGCTGTGCCTCCTTCCTCCCTTGTCACTTAGATAGTGGCCTTTGGATGTTTACACGGTTTCTGTCCTTGTAGTTTCTCTGTCTTAGTGGATGATTAATACAGGATATTAACATTGCTTTAAAAAAAATGCCAGGCATGGTGACTCAGGCTCAAAACCCCAGAGCTTTAGAGACAGGGACAGGACTATTATGAGTTCAAGTCCAGCCTATCTTAAAACAAATAAGAAAAGTGAGCTATAATATAAAGAATGTGATACTACTGTAGCAAAGAGTGTGCAGGTATAAATTACAGCCTCATCCCCGGGGCCTGAGCCATTCCTTCTCAAGCAGCAATCTGCCTCCTACTGTTTTTCTTCTTTTCCCAACTTTCTTTCACTTTTCATTATTTCTAGTTAATTTTAAGCTTTAATTTATGAACACGGATGTTTTGTCTGCACATATGTCTGTGTACAATGTGTGTTCCTGGTGCCCATGGAAGCCAGAAGAGGGTATCAGACCCCCTGCAAATGGAATTGCAGACAGATGTGAGCTTCCACGTGGGTGCTGGGAATCAAAACCAGATTCAAATTCAGTGCTCTTAATTACTTAGCCATCTCTCCAGCCCCTAGAGAGTTTGCTATTTTTTTGTTTTTGAAGTTTCATTAACCCAGGCCAACCTGGAACTCATTACACTAGCAAGGATGGCCTTGAATTTTTGCCTCCGCCTCCCAAGTGCTGGGATTGCAAATGTGTGCCACCACGCCTGGCTTCACTGTCAGCTCTTCCGGAAAACTGCATTTGTAATAAAGAAATAGAAATTCCTGAGATGGGTGTGGTTGTTTGAGGCCAGCTTGCAAGGTGGAACCCTGTGTCAAAAATCAAAGAAAGAAGGAAGGGAGGGAGGGAGGGAGGGAGGGAGGGAGGGAGGGAGGGAGGGAGGGAGGGAGGAAGGAGAAAGAAACGAAAATGAGATTTAGTCATCATTACCATTTGTATGTGCGTAGTATGTGTGTGTGCAGGTGCTTATGAACAGGTATGTGGAGGGCAGAGGTCACCTCGGATTTCACACCTTGGAAGCTTTCCACCTTGTATTAGTTACATTTTCATCACTGTGATAAAATACCACAACCAAAGCAACTTATTAAGTAAGCATTTGTGTAGTTATTTTTTTTTACTCTTGGTTTTTTGGGGGACCTGCCACCCCACTCCCAAATAAATCACTACAGAGTTTTATTCTTTTTTATAAATACCTGGCCTTAACTTGGCTTGTTTCTAGCCAGCTTTTCTTAAATTATCCCGTCTACCTTTTGCTTCTGGGCTTTTCTCTTTCTCATTTCTGTATACCTTTCTTTGCTTCTTACTCCATGTCTGTCTGGGTGGCTGGCCCCTAGTATTCTCCTCTCCTTGTTCTCTTGTTCCTCCTTTTCCAAATTTCACCTTCTATTTATTCTCTCTGCCTGCCAGCCCTGTCCATCCTTTCTCCTGCCTCATTATTGGCTGTTCAGCTCTTTATTAGACCATCAGGTGTTTTAGACAGGCAAAGAATCACAGTTTCACAGAGTTAGACAAATACAGCATAAACAAGGGCTTTAATGATCTTCACATCATTAAACAAATGCACCAGAGCATAAACAAATGTAACACACCTTAAGATAATATTCTACAAGCTTGTTTGGGTTTATAGTCCCAGAGGGTTAGCGGCTGTGACGGCAGGATGGAGACAGCAGGCAGTGGGCAGCTGGAGCAGCTGAGAGCACACATCTGGATCTACAGGCAGGAGGCAGAGAGGGTTTATTCCAAATGGCGCAAGTCTTGTGAAGCCTCAAAAATCTGCCCCCAGTAACACACCTCCTCTAACAAGACCACACCTCCTAATCCTTCTCAAATAGTCCACCAACTGGGGACCAAGTACTCAGCCGTAGGAGCCTAAGAGAGCCATTGTCATTGAAACCACCACACGGTGGTAAAGTCAGGGCCACCCTTACTGACTCAGCCATTTCAAAGTTTAGGGATATAGTCAGGACCTGCTGTGTGTCCATCTCCTCCAACTTTTCTCCTCTAGTGTTTTCAAGCTCTGAAAACTACTCTTTATAGGGAGGCAAAAATCCTCCTGTGGATAGCCACAGAGACTTGGTTAGTGTTCCATGATATAAGGATACCACCTGGCCTTCCATGAATCTCTTTTCATGACTCTTTCTCGGTGGCAAAGGATTCAGTTAGACCGGCCAACCGGAAGCACCAACGATCTTTCTGTCTCTGCTCCCAAGACTGTGATTACAAGCACACACAACAGACAAGGTCTCACTCTGTATCTCAGGCTGGCTTCAAACTAACAAATCCCCCTGCCTCAGTCTCCCAAATGCTAGGATGACAGGCATGCTGCCACCACGCCCAGCTGGAAGTCAAATAGTTTGAAACCTCTTGTCAGATGCACAGACTTTAGCTCTGTTTCCTTGACTAGACTCTCAATAGACAAATGGAAGACACCTAACATATATTTATTCAAATCATCATTAATGCACTTAACAATAATAGACCACCCCAACTGCTAAGTGGTTGTGCAGTCAAAGTTCAATCACCTCCCCCAGGGGGTCCTTGGTTTGCTTGTCAGCATAACACATGGGCTTGGGCCATGATGTCAGGCTGGGGTGACTCCTGCTGGGGGTAGTTTGAGATCCCCAGTGAGCTAGAAAAGCTTTTGATCTGAAGGATGGGAGCCAGGGTTGACTCCAGCACCAAGTGAGAGGTCATCCTATCTCACACAACAGCCATCCTGCGCCCCAGGAAGTTGGTAAGAAAAACCTGAACCAATGACTGGAGAGATGGCACTTCTGTTAACAGTGCCTACCCCTCTTCCAGGTGACTCAAGTTTGGTTCTCAGCACCCCTGTAAGGGAGCTCACAGTTGGCTGTAGCTCCAGCCCCATGGGATCCAATCTCCCTTTCTGATCTCCAAGGGCACACACATGTATATGGTAAATACAGACAGACACATAGAATTCACATAAACAGATTAGTAGGGGCTGGAGAGGGGGCTCAATGATTAAGGGCGCATACAGTTCACATTCTTGCTGAGTACAGTCATTTAGTTCTAGAGAGGGCTCAATAATTAAGAACACGTAGTGTCCTTGCCGAGTACAGTTGTTTGGTTCTCAGCACCTGCATGAGGCAGCTCACAGGAACTCCACTTCCAGGAGGAAGTGGGCACCTCTGTCTGCTGCAGGCACCTGTACTCACATGCACATACCTACCCACCCCTGCATACACAAATATGCATAATAGAAAAAATGAGCCATGGGCCTGCATTGCACAAACAACCTTTTAGTATTTCTGCTTCCTTTAGACAAGAACCCAGTTTTCCAGAAGCACAACACCATGTATGTTATAAGAAGAAGAGC